GTATTTTATTTACATTAGAGCTATCACCCTTAGCCCCAGAGCCTGAACCAAATTCTACAATTCTACAAGACCCCCCTTGCCTATCTTGGGCTATGGCACTTGGATAGATAGGAGTATTATTCCTGAGATTGTATTCTAATTTTAGGATAGAAGGTTGTGATATGGTGTGGGGCTAGTGGTGCTCATAGCCCAACCCAGGCAAAGGGGGTCCTAACTGAACCATGGGGTTTAGGGACTGAGGGCTCAGGAGTTAGGGACGCAGGGGTTTAGGGTGTACGTGGGCTTTAGGGAAGAGTCTTCTGGGGCTTGGGGATCGAGGTTCAAGCTCCGAAGCCAAGAAACTTTCTCAGTCGGGGGCTGGGCTTCACCCTCCTGCTGCCTACATCTAAGAAACCCTTTGCGGTTTTGGATTTATAGGGCTTCGGGTTTGCAGGGCTTTGGGTTTAGGGCTTGGGGTCTAGGGCTTAGGGCCTGTGCATAATTCAACGGCGTCTTAACATACTCTGCAGCCACTCGGACTTTCTGCACTCTTATAAAGCTTGGACAGGCTACCCAACTGTGGCCTCTGTTGAGCTCCTAAGCACTGGATCACGGAGACGTAGTGCCTTCAGAACCCTAACCCAAAACCCAATGCTGCTTGTCAAAAAACTGGCACCTACTCCTGGCTCAAGAGTTCTACAAACGTCCAACGGATATAACACGAAGCAGCACAGCTTGTTCGCCCTAAGACTTTCTGCGAACCAACCGACATCATGCCGCGCAGTCAAATAGTGTACGAATTTTAAAGTGTTTGATGGTCCCTTAAAGCACGCAAGAGTATATGTATTATAACAGCGTACAGACTATGTAGACTATAAGATTCAAACATAGCTGCACGTTATAGTGGATAAATTACGGGGGAACCACGGCTTCAATCGATACCAAGCCGTACTTGAAGGTTCATGGGTACTTATAAGTAGGGTTATAAGTAGGGTAACTATACTTATAACCCATACTAGGGGACTTATTACCCCACATATAACTACCCCTGAACCCCCAAGTAACCCTTCCCGAACAAGACCTCTCAAGTGCAAGAGCCCGATGGCGGTTTGGGTTTAGGGCTTAAGGGTTTGGGCTTACAGGCGCTCTTTTTTCTGAGCAGCTGCATCCTTATGCAGCCAGAAATTCCGGGATTAGCTGCGCAGCGGGTGCTGTGCAGGCGGGCATTTATGCCTGCCTTCGACACGAAGAGATGGCGCGTCTTCCATTGTGTTAGGGTTTATAGGGTTTAGGGTTTAGGTGGTTACGGGGTTTGGGGGTTAGGGGTTACGGGGTTAGGAGCTCGGCTTTTGGGCTCGGAGTGTCAGACTCCTTTACTCTTGGCCTTGACAACCAGCATAAGTTCGGTTTTGGGATGTGTTGTAGCATAGTTACGCAATAGGAAGAGATGCTACTTCTACTAAAGAGACCCCAACTTGTGGAAGCCCCGCATGAGAATGGACAAAACCGGGTGGGTCATGCCGAGAACAGAATGACTGCGTCAGAGTGCTGTCGGCCTTGTCATGTCCAGGAGCTGCTTCATCAACCGCATCTCCCCAGAGCCGTAAATCCTACACCCTACACAGGTTTTCCCTAAACCCTAAACCCTAAACCCTAAACCCTAAACCCTAAACTTCCGCTTAGGGTCTATAAGGCATAGAACTCCAGTCACCATGCTCTGGACCTCATATCCTCGCTTGAACTTGCAGGGCCTTGCGGCTTGTGTATGCTTCAACGCGCAGGAGTTCGGGTTCAGCATAGACTCTACTTTGATATATTTGTAAGATACTGTGGCTTATGTTGAAATACGATGATATACTATGAAAAGATACTGCAGTCTACTATCGTATACTCTATATATGTATGTATATATCTATATATATATATATGTATGTATATATATATATATATGTATGTATGAATATGTATATGTAAACCTATATATGCATAGTATATATGTGTGAGGTTTAGGGGTCAGGATGCCCAGGGGACTCTTCCTGGAGGAGCCTTCCACCGTAGTATGTGGCATCCGGAAAGCCCGAGCTGCCACACTCCCATAAATCCGACCAAGACCCTCAAATGCAGGCCCTGCGGTTTGGGTTTAGGGTTTAGGGTTTTAGAGTTTAGTAACTTAGGATTGATGATACAAAACCTGCAATACCTTCATGACCCTAGACTATGGGAATTATGGCATATCCCTCACTATGGGTAATGCAGGATGTATATCATCAACCGTATTTAAAGGTTCATGGGACTTAGTAACTGGTGGCTTAGATAAGGTATCTATATTTAAAATCCAGTATAAGTACGTTAACTGTGCTTACTGAGTCTCACGAACCCGCAAGAAACCCCAAACCCTAAGCCTAAACCCTAAACCGTATGCTTATATATACATATATCCACCCTGAACCGCATAAAGCCCATTCTCATTCTCGGGACTTGGGCTTTGCCGGGCTGGGGATTTCGGGATTTAGGGCTCAAGGGTTGTCAGGGTGTGGGGATATGTTTGGAGTTCTATGGCCCAAGGCCGAAGTGCCAGGCTCCCTGTTTGTCCAAGGGTAAAAGGAGGGGCCCTTAATAGGGACCCCTAGGTATATACCCTCAATATAGCAATTATATTCGCATTATATAGCCCGTTATAGGGTAGGGGTCCCCATTAAGGGTCCCTCCTTTCCCCTTTTGAGTTTAAGATTTCGAGATATAGATCTTCGTCAAGCAGCTACTGGAGGGGGATAGCATCACTAAGCAAATCATTTCCCCTGCAGGAACAGCTGCAGCTGGCGTAATGTAGGGGCCTTAATGATTAGAATAGGGGTCTGGAGGTTCCTTAATATAAAGATAATATAATTCCCCAAAACCCTATTCTAATTAGTATTATTGTTATTGTTATTGTTGTTATTTCTAAGGCCCCTACAGGACAAAAGGATTGCAAGGGTAGGGGGAGAAGCGAAGGCGGCGGTCAAAATGCGCCCCGGCCGTTCCCCCCACCCCCAAAGAAGCCCGAGAGCAGGCGGTCGATGGTTGCCACCTGGCAGGCTGGGAAGAGGCCCTTATACATTAGAAGCTGCCCCCACCCTGTAATGGTGACTATAAGAATTATATTAGGGCCCTACTATATTCCTATTATACCACTATTACAGGGTGGGGGCAGCTTCTAACTTATACAGTAGCTTTAGTACAATAAATATTAACAATAATATCAATACTAATAATTATACTAATACGTAATAAAAGAAATCTACTACATTCTATGCTCTATGTTTGGTATTCTGCACGTTCCGATTCATTTACATATTATGGTATGACGCATTAACACTATTCCGCCTACATGAAATCCAACTCCTCAGTGCTCCGGCCGACATCATCTGTGACATCGGGCCGGCAATCGCCATCACGGATTGCAATGATGATGACAGGTCTTGGGTTTAGGAGTTTAGGGTGATCGTGATGATACAGTACTGGTGATGCCTTCGGTGATGAAGATGGTTTTGATGATTGGGAGAGGAATAGGCCGGGATGATAATGACGAGGACGATTCGATGGTGACGAGGATGGCGGAGCTGTGCCGGCATTGGCAAATACCGGTACTGCTTTGACAGCTCGGTATCAATACACCAGGAAACTTGAGCCTAATTCCAGTGCTCGTTCTCTTCACATCTTTTTTTGTGTCTTGATTGATTGCCTTGCTTGTTGTTGTCTCCATTCTGAATTCTTATTTCTTTCTCCAGCATGCACAATTGTCGCGTCTTCAAAGTATGCGTTCTGCTCCCGCTCGCAAAAATCGTTGAGAAATTGAAGCCTTGTCCTCCGCACATTGTACCCTTTGCAACCAAGAGCTAAGCCTGGAGGATGAAGAGAGCAGGAAAAAGACCCCAACGAAACGAACCACTAATCTCGCATGTTTTCCATGTTTTGCGCGTGGTTGGTTGCTTCGCTGTTGCTTGTTGCGCTGCGCTTCTTCACAGTGAACAGAGTCTCGTTTCTTTTGCTTCCATGAAACGTGTGGAATGCTTGGTTGCGCTGGTTCATAAACCAGAGTCTAGAGACGAACGGAACATCAATACTTAAACCGCGCTTGTATTGCATGTATATATTGTCTGCAAAAATCCGAGAAGCAACAGACATAGCAAGACACTGGCAGCAATATGATGACGTGCTCCAAGTTCCAGAATGTGAAATGTGCACGAGGCCCAAACTAAATGATGTGAACGAAGAAACGCGGAGAGTGCACGCATGTTTCCGTTCGCTCAATACTTGTTGAGCCTTTGTTCAACCGCTTCTGGACTGACAGGAAGGAAGCGAAGAACTGCAAACCTTGCAGCCTAAAGCCTGACGCATGCTAAACTCCTGAAACCCCCAACCCCTAAACCCTGACCCCTGAACCCTAAACCCTAAACCCTGAAACCTAAAACCTAAAAACACTAATTTCTAACCCTACACTCCTCAAGACCCAGCCTTGAAACTTCAAACACTGAAATTCTGAAATCCAAGAAAGCAATCCCCACAACCCGATACAATCACTCATCTTCCCAAGTGGCGCCGTGTCGGTGGTTGTCAAAATTATGGTACCCTTTTGGGTCCCTATTATAGCACGGAACCTAATATGTAAGGTACCCAAAAAGGGACCCTAATATTGACAACCACCCATTTCCAGGATGTTGGGAGAGCTGCGGGTGCTAATGATGGTAGTTGTCAAAATTAGGGTCCCTTCTTGGGTGCCCTACTATAATAAGGACCCAAAAAGGGACCCTAATTTAGAGAACTACCCTTTTGACAAACCACGACATGATGTGAAAAGAAACATGTCCAAGGCGGGCTTTTGTACTCAAACAAGGAGCAGCACGCAATGTGAGAGAGCAGGCCATCTTTTGGTGATCATAGGCACAAACAAGAAGACCCAGACGCAGGAAGGGAGGGTCTTCTTCTGTTGATCTATTCGATAATCGTTCCCTTCACATTCCCTTGCACACGGGTGAAGAACGTCACTGAAAATCTCGAAGCCGCAAAGTTGTCGGGTCATCTTTCGTGACAGCTGCTCGCGATTCCACCAAAGAAAGTGCGAGAAGTGTCCGCCTTTGATCACTCTGATTAGCCCCACCCTTGTGCCAGCAAGTTGAGTGCATCAGCGTCGCATCTCCCGCTCGCAAGGGAAACCAGGTAGCTGGCTTTGAGCCACCAGCGACTAATGTTCTCCCCTCTCTGCTGCTTGGGGCCACCCATTGCCCTTCAGGGAAACAGCGAGGGTGATGCGTGTCCATGCAGAAGTATGTTGGCCCCATGGCTTCGTCTGCAATGTCCTGCAATGCAACGAACATGGTGGCCACCAGCGGCTCGTCCTCTGCCCATTCATTGTCCCCATGCAGTTCCTGCGCAGTGCACCCGGGGTCACTCACGATGGCCGTGACCTCGCGGAGCTCAGCATCCTGGCCAACGCAGTCTTGGAGTATAGCGCCAGCGCCGGGAGGTGCGCTGCCCAAAACCGCCCGCATCATTGCTTCCACTGGTGTGCCAAAGATTGGGAGCAAGAAGTCTCGTCGGTGCTCAGGCGGTGAGTGCGGGCCTTTGAACCCAACCGTGGTCGAGAATGGCATGAAGTGTCGATTCTGCGGGACCGCAGTCATGGGCCCCGGAAGGGCGAGCATTCGGTCAAGATGTTCCATCAAGTGCTTGTAGCAAGCATTGATTACCAGGATGTGTTCCGCTGAATCTCGGTTCAGCCGGACCACGCAGAGGCCGTGGGTGCGGAGCTCATGGTCATCCTCGCCAACTACCGAGGCCATAGCTGCCACTTCCCAGAGACTCCAATACCCCTTAATTAAGGCATATACCTCAAATTATAATAGGATCCCTAATATGATTTTTCAGGAATATTCCTTAATTACGGGATATTGGAGTCTCTGGGTTCCTCAATCCCCACTCCTCAGCCCAGAAGCCTGCACTGTGCCTCAGAAGTCACGACGAAGCATGGCACAATACCGGGGCCTTACTCATCAGAATGCGTCTTAGGTATCCTATCGCAGAACTATCGGGCCATAGGGAGGAAGCTGTCAAGGCGATATTCCTACAAAATCAAGAGGAGATTTGCACCAAGGGCTTCGGTCATCTGGTCTTGGGGTTTCGGGTTCAGGACCTGGGGTTTCGGGCAGAGAAAGCTGATGGAGACGTGCTGGCGGCGGAACCCTTCGCAGACAGGCAATCAGAGTAGCAACACTGATCCTCATCATATAACCTCAAACTAGAAGGCTGGCATAAGGTTCATAGTCACCATAGTGATCATCACGGCAAGTCTGATCTCGACACTGGGGCTTATGAAACAGCTAGGGCACCTTCTTCAGGGATCCTTGCACGAAACGCGCTACATTTGGAGGGTCTATAGTCTGAGATTCTCGAACTCTGACCATGGCCCATTTCATAAAGACCCTCAAGACCCTCAACCCTAAACCCTAGATCCGTAAACCTCAAACCCGACACGCTCAACCGAAAACCGAAACCGTAACACTCAACCAGCGGCCTCCGCTGAAGCGCAACAGTCCCAACGAAGCCTATTCGGGGTTCCCTTAAGGGTTCCTTTAAAGGCTCCTTTACAGGTTCCTTGTAGGGTTCCTTTTAAGGCTCCTCTAAGGGTTCCTTTTCCCTTAGAGGAGCGCTTGAAGGAGCCCTTAAGGGATTGCTTCTAAGGCTTCAACACGATCATGTAACACTTTGAGTGTCATGAAGAAGGATCTACGGCTGTAAAGATACTATGAGGTCTCCATATTTTGCCGAAGCCCCCTTACTGCCAACGTCAAAGGGGGCCCTCTCGCCCCGAGTGAAACAGCGTTCAAAACGAACTTCGAAGTGCACTCCCCCTAAATCCTTATAGATCCCTTTAAGGAGCCTTTTAAAGAGCCCTTCATGCGGCCCTTTAAGGAGCCCTATCAGGATAATCCGAGGGCCTCAGGCGACGGGGCATGCAGTGCCTGCAATGTCAGCTGAGGCTGGTGCTCATGGGGGGTTTAGGGCTTGAGGGGTTTAGGGTTTAGAGGTTTAGGGTTTAGGGTTCTATTGTTTAGGGGTTTAGGGGTTTAGGGTTTAAGGTCCACGGACGGGCTCCTGCTCCTGCATTGGATTTCTGGTTGTCCGGATTCGAGGGCATAGAAGTCGCACTCGAGTTTCAATTCACGGGAAGAGGGTTCCGGTTTGGAGCAGGTCGTTTAGCTAGTGTAGGGCGCCCAGAATGTGCGTGCGTTTGTCTGGTTGTGTGTGCGTGTGTGTGTGTGTGTGTGTGTGTATGTACATACATATATATATATACATACATACATACGTATATACATAAATACATCTACATGTACATCGGGTCCCTTATAGTGGACACCAGTCCGACCCTCACGACTCTCGCAAGGTCTCGAGTAGCTTTCGAAACCCTGGACCTGGTAAGATTTACAAGGCCTTCGCATTAAGCACTACTTCTGAGGAACAGCACAGCCCAAAAACACTGCCCAGACCGAAATCCCTAAAGCCTAAACCGAAAATCTCCAAGAAAGGGCTCCTTGTTCAAGAGTCTGCTTTCCGGCAGCTGGAACAGGCCCTGATGCGAGGGGTCGTCCAGGGTTCAATGATGAAGGTGTTTACAGGTTGGGAACGTAAGGTCCGAGGATTTCCCAAGTTAAGGGAAAGAAAGCGATATGGGCATGATGACTACTTGGCTTCAGAGGTTCCCGGAGTGCGCCTCCCAAATTCGTATTCGCTGACATGTGGGTGGTTGTCAAAATTAGGGTCCCTTTTTTGGGTCCTGATTATAATACGGCACCTAATATTTAGGGTACCCAAAAAGGGACCATAATTTTGACAACTACCCATGTGGAATGCAAACAAGCTTAACATTCGGGTCCAGGGTTTGGCGAATGAGGCTTGCACACACGCTTACGATTACGCTTCCAAGTTTACGGGCTTCAGGGTTTGGGGCCTAGGATAGGTTTCTTGGGGCTTTGGGTCTTTCGCATAGGTGTGTGAGGTTGGACAAAGCCTTTCATGGTAGGAAGGGCGCGAGGGTTATTCTACAGGGGCCTAACGAATGTTGCATAGCTATTCAGGCTTCTATACCACTCGTCGTTGTCCTCGTGCTGTGGTTCTACTGGTGGTAGCGGTGTGTCCGCAGCAATAACTCTAGAAGGAGGAATATTGACGCCCAAGGCTCGAAGTCTCGTTGGTTTGCATGCAGGCGCTTTATTCCTAGTCTCTGCACAACAAGACCCAAAATAGTCGTCACCAGATTCTCTCTCTGTCTCTCTCTTTATCACGCTCTCTCTACCTTATCTCTCTATCAGTATAAGCCCTACTTCATGTCTTGAGGCTCGACCTATGGCTACAGCGGTTTCACCTATGGGCTCGGCCTCGAGGAAGTGCCAGTTGATGGAACCTTCGCAGGCACAGCAACCCCGGTTTTCGGTCAGGGATTGTCGCCCAGCTGTTTTGGAGCTGTTCGGGTCCGAGTGATGGTGTGCAGCTTCCGTCACACGACCAGAACTCAAGGAAACCCGCCAGTAAGTGTTGTTGCTGTCGCTATTTTCTTGCTGTCGTTGCGGGGGCGGGTTTTTGTTTGCTGTCGTTGCGTGGGCGCTTTTGTTTGCTGTCGTTGCCGGTCCCGGGGTTCACTCACTGGCTTCGCAAAGACAGCAACAGCAACCACAGCAGCAAAAAGCACGGGTTCCGGAAACCGCCCTCGAGGCCTTTCCGCACCGCCCCCTTCCTCGTCCTTCTGCGCCTCCGCCTCCTCATCCTCCCCTTCCTTCCTCCGCCTCCTCGTGGTCCTACCATGAGTAACACCCCGCCGTACATAAGACTTACTCCTTGCCACGTGCCACTCACCGCTTTTTCCTTGTGCTACTGACCATGTACGTCATACCGACCATCCGCCACCATCTACTTGAGATCAGAGCGGTCGAAAGCTGGGGGAGGGAAGTGGCAGCTGTGTACGGCAAATGTGGGCATTTGCTAGTGAGCGAATGTGAATGATGCAGTGCTCACAGTAAGCTGTTTTGCGACCTTCGTGAACCTGTAAGCCTGCACTGCAAAGCGCCTGGCAAAGCTCAACCCCCAAAATCCTGAACCCAAAGAAATCCCAAAAGGGGTTCCTAGATGCAAGACTCTCAGTTTGGAGCCCACCAAAAGGAACCCAACACACAAACTTGAGGCATCTCCCTACATGCCGGGAGACTCCAATAACTTCTATTCAAGTGATCTTTTGGGGTTCCAGACAGCGCTGAACCCACGGCCATGCGAGCCCCACCAGTGCAGGCCGCACCTCTCCTACGCCGGACTGATGTAGGAACCTGATTAAGAAACCTTGGGCCTCTACTGGGGTTCTTTATATGAATCCTGCTAGTTTGGGGTTGTAGGCCCCAGGTTTCTGAATCAGGTTCCTACATTAGTCTCGGAAGTGACAACCCCCAAACTCCCATGCACAGAGTCCTGATCGCCAAAGCTCCCAAAAACTGTAAAGATCTGAAAGCCCCTAACCCCTAAACCCTCGACCCCAACCCCTAAACCCTAAACCCTGGACCCGAAACCCTAAACCCTGAACCTCAAATTTCTAAGCCCTGCGAACGTCACAGCCAAGTGGCAGATCCTCTGTTCGCTCTTTCAGCGAGTACTTGACAGCAGCAGACCTGGGGGTGTCTTCGGAGAGCCCTGAAACCCTTCAAGGAGCCCTTAAAGGATCCCTTAAAGGAGCCCTTTAAGAGCCCTTAAAGGATCCCTTAAAGGAGCCCTTAAGGGCCTCTTCAGCTCTGAGGCCAGGACATGAGGCTCTTGCTGAGCTGTGCGCCGAAGCCCTTTCCCAGAGACTCCAATATTCCTTAATTAGGGAATATACCTTAAATCATATTAAGGATCCTACTATAATTTAAGGTATATTCCTTAACTAAGGGATATTGGAGTCTCTGGGTTCGCGGAAGTCGCTTGCTTTGGGGTAACTGGGGGCTGTCGTTTTCGGGCCTTCATGACTCAAAAGGCAGGCTTGCGGGTATATTCTACAATAGCTGCATAAGAAGTGTACATGGGGATGTAATATAGCTGCTAGAATCTACAACTTTAAGGCTTCTAGTTAAGAAGTTAAGGGCCCGGAGGGGCCTAGGAACTGGCGCTTGAAAGCTGCACTGCAGGGCCTGGGGTCTTGGATTCGAAGCAGACCTTATCTTCGTAGGGGGTACCGGCTTCAGAGTTTCGGGCACCTGGGTGGATGGTAGTGGATAGATCCTTTGGGAGCAACAGGGGATTTTCCGAACATAGGGGACCTTAATCTAGTGCCCCAAACAGTAGGATCCTTATTATAAGGACCCCCAAATAAGGTACTTCTAATTTTCGGAAACTCCCACAGAGGAACAGAGCTGTCCACATTAACTTCTGGTTCAGGAGTCGGGGCCTTGGGGCTTTGGAACTAAAACCCCAAGCCCAAGCCGCAATACACCCGAAGCGCTTAAACCCTAAACCCAAAGCCCCAAACCCGGAACCTTGAACTCTAAACCTTCCGCTCTGCAGGTTCGTGAGCCTTGAGCTACAAAGGTTCTAGGCCCAAGCTGTTATCAGTTAGCAGAACCCTTCCCGTTTCGGGTTATTGGGAGTTGAGACTGATGTATATTACATATATGGGTGGTTGACAAAATTATTGGGTCGCTTTTTTTTCATACGGCACCTACTATTTAGGGTACCCAAAAAACGGACCATAATTTTGACAACCACCCATATGCAACCGAGGCTTGGGGTTCAGGGTTTAGGGTTTAGGGTTTGGGGCTTAGGGGTTCTGAGCTTAAGGCTTTAGATTTTGAGGGCTTTGGTACTAAGGGAGGCTGAGGCTCAAAATGTGAGGTTGGGAATGTTATCATATCGGAATTAAGTGAACAAGTTAAGCAAGTAGTATACCTTAAGTCATAGAGGGCTTATATAATATTAAGATTACTATTACTATTACTATGACTATTACTGTTACTATTACGATTACTATTACTATTACTATTACTATGAAGGTATAAGTGAGCAAATTTTCCCTGCAAGCTGCAGCTCATCCGACAGAACGAGGGGCTGTCACTGTGACGGAAGCTCCCCGATCAACTGTCCAGCTACAGGAATGCAGGTACGGGGTAGTGTGCTTGCAGGAGGCTCGGGTGTCTCCGTCAAAAGAAACATACTACTCCTCCTCCGAACAAAAACCACGACTAGTCCTCCAATACCCGAGGTACTGAATCCCAGACTACCTCCTGCCCTGCCAGAAACGGCCCCGGCCGAATGTCTAACTTTCTCTACCCACTGAAGTGGGGAGGGACATTGGCTACTCTTGAGAATATATTGTCTTGAGGCTCCTCCACCTCCGTCTGAAAATCGCAAAACCGAACTAGCACGAACTATACGTAACTATATGCATCGAGGACTAGACCAGAAAAGATCAATGATCACCATAAACAGCAGGAAGAACGACCGCCACAACAAAAAGCTACAATCTCAAGCATAAAAGAAAACCTCTACTGCAACTGCAAGCGTGTCCGAAAAGCCCCTTTTGATGCTGTAGACCCTATTTCCGAAGCACGTCTGGGAGCCTGCAGCCTCAAACCTAAACACACACAACAACTAGCCGCTAGCCAATCATTCAAGAATCACTCAAAGAGCAAGCATTCCCTGAAAGTCGAGGTGGCTGGAGGGGATAAGCGAGGAACTGTGCTGGGCAACTGCTGGGCTTAAAGTGTATCTGGCCAATAGACTTCGTCTAAGTGCGGCCAGCTGTGTATGGATTGGGACCTGAACCGCCAACCAGCTGTACAAACACGGCCGAGATAGACAATTCGGGACGCACAGAACTGTTCTGAGATTCTGAGCATCTGAAACTAAAGCTGGGGATCATGGGTCCCGATTTCCGTGCATGGTCGGCGGAACTGGCTGCCAGCTATAACTTTGAATTGCCCTGCGTTGCTGTGCTCACCCAGTCTAAATGGCACTCTGCTGTACATGGTGCCTGGGTTTCGTCAGCCATTTCCAAAAGCCAAAACTCCTTGGCGGGCACCCAAACACTTACCTTTGGTTAGTAGGGAATGGAGGAACGTGGTACAATTATAACTACTATTACTACCATTCTTCCATTCCCTACTAACCAAAGGTAAGAACCCAATCGCTGCCAGGGATGCGAAACCATGAAATCCCAGGATCGGTTTCGGGTTTAGGGTTTAGGGGGCCCCCCAAGCGCAAGGTTTGGAATACCCACGGCGATATCTTGGTACTGTTAGTGTCGTAAGCGTAAATCGAGTGTTGGAACATATCTTGGGTGCTGCCCCGCATAGAGTAACAGTCTAAAGTACCGTGAAGGGCCTTGCATACCTGTAGTGCAAATACGATCAAACTGTTGCTCAGTGGGGGGCATTATCCGGCGCAAATCGGTTCAGGGTTTACTTGCCTAACCCCTAGACCCTAAGCCCGAAACCCTGAACCCGAAACCCTAAACCCGAAACCCGCAACCCTAAACCTAAGTAGCGAGGGCTTTGAGGTGGAGTCGCTTTCAGAAGCGGGCGATTTCAAGCCTTCAATTTTGATAAAGACCTACTTGGAGGCTCATGGGTACTTATAAGGGTCCCTTTAAAGGGATCTATAAAGATTCTATAAGGGCATAGGGTTCAGGGCCCTACTTGGAGGTTCATGGGTACAAGTGGGGTTAGAAGGCCCCTAGTAGTGGGTTATAAGTATAGCTACTCCACTTATAACCCCACTTATAACTACCCATGAACCTCCAAGTAGGCCCGTAGTAAGGCCCTGCAGCAGGAAGGCCTGAACAGGAAACCTATTTTACAGCCTATACCCTAAGGCCCAAAACCAAAAAGACCAAAACCCTGAAGCCAAATCCAGCAATACAGAAGCCTGCATGAAGCGAAGTAGAAACAATGAGACGATACCCCAAACTCCTCCTCTGGTAATTCGGGCCCATATTACGCAGCTTCTTGCAGTCGGCACCACGATCCCTATCCAGGCTTCGAGACAACTTCGACGCATGACAGTTCAAACCAGGATTCACTACAGCGTTGAGGGTTCTGTTTAGGGTTTCAACTCACCGCAAAGTAAAGCTTAGACATTTGGGAGTTTCCCAAAATAGGGGACCCTAATATGGTACCCTAAGTAGTAGGATCCTTATTATAAGGTCCCCAAAATAAGGTACCCCCAATTTTCGGAAACCCCCTTTTGCCTCATGGGAGATGTCTTTGGGCTTTGACTTTGCAGAGTTGCTTCAGGATCCTCTGCCACTCTCTTGCGCTGTTCACGAAAACTTCAGTGTGACTTAGTGACTTAGATATGGGAGTTTCCGAAGATGGGGGTACCTCATTTTGGGGTCCTTATAATAAAGATCCTACTATTTAGGGTACTATATCGGGGTCCCCTATTTTTGGAAACTCCCATATGTAGGTCTGAAAACTTTGACGTAACAACCTTTTATCGTCTCCTTAGCTACTTTGTTTCTGACATATCCCTGAGCCTCCTCTCTGCTGCACATGGAAGGACCCACTTGATGGGGTTTAAGGGTTCGGGTTTGGGGTTTAGGGCTTCTCGTTGCCGCTTCACCAGCACCCTTCTGCTGGGTTCTTGTTAAGCCATAATACAAAGAAACTCTATTCTTTACAAAAGATCCCTATTATGGTAACTTAAACCTTAAACCCCCAGACCCCTCAAAGGAACCCTTATAGATCCCTGTTCCTCGCACACACCCGCCGGATCCCAAAACCACGTACGTCCTGGACCCCGTGGTTTGGAGCCTTCGGGTTTGGGGCTTTTTAGCGATCCATATGGGTTCCTATAAGGGCTTTATGGCTGTAGGGGTGTAGGGGTTGAGGGTTTTTAGGGGTTCAGGGTTTAGGGTCTAGGGTTCGCTTTCGGGCTTGGTGTTTCTTCGGGTAAAGCTGTTCACGAACTCTAAACCCTAAACCCAACAACCTTAAACCCTAAACCCTGAACCCCAAACCTTTCCCGCTAGACCCGACGGCTTTATGCAGCAGGAGTTGCGTGGCTGGTACCGCATTGTCTCAGTGCCACATCTCCTCAGAACGCTCTTCCACAGACTCGAATTAGGTGTGATGGGTTTAGGCTTTAGGCTCCAGGGGGCTATAGGCTTTAGAGTTTAAGTTGTCGGCTCTGTTGGTGTCTAGGGGTTAGTCCTTGCGGGGTTAGGAACCCAAGACATGTCCAAATCGTTGAAACCCCTAAACCCCAATCGTCAACTAAAACCGACAGAAGAAAGCCAGAAGCCTTTGCATAACGCAACATCCAGCGGAGGGACCTAGTAGTGGGGCCCAGGTAATTAGAATACGGTATTGGGTTATATTCTACTGAAATTACAATAAGGAACCCCACAGATAGTACAAGTAATTATTACTGCAGCTTCTATATTAATCATCATCAGAGTGTCTCACGAGAACTGCCCACGCAGCCCCTGCCAACGGCTACGGGTGGATGCAAGAACCCCAGATGCATGTGGGTGGTTGTCAACATTAGGGTCCCTGTTTGGGTACCGTATTATAACACGGCACCTATTATTTAGGGCCCCTTTTTGGGTAACCTAAATAGTAGGTGTCGTACTATATTAAGGACCCAGAAAAGGGACCATAATTTTGACAACCAGCCATGTGGAGCACGAGTTATAGGATCCTTAAGGGAGGGCAAGGAATCCTTAGGGGAACCTTAGGGAGTACTAGGGAGAGTTAGGGATCACTAGGCTATGTACCCCCCTTGGAGCCCCCTCCCTTAAGGATACTATATAAACGAGATAGATCTCCCTGCTTCAGACAATCTGTCAGTCGGCCTCCACACAGAAATCGAAACCCCGAACCCAAAGCCCCAAAGCCTAAACTCTAAAGCCTAACGCCCAAAGCCTTAACCCTAAACCCAAACCCTAAACCCCAAAACCCTAAACCCGAAACGGCTGGTATCTTACACCCTTGGAATACCAGGCCCGACTTTCGAAACTTAACCTTAACCCTATGATTTTTCTTGATCTCTAAACCCTAGACCGCAGAAGCCTACGGTTCAGAGTTGCAAGGTTGAGGTTTAGGGATGCGGGCTGAGGGTTCGTGGCTGATGGTTCATCATAGGGACCCCAGAAAAAAGTAGGGGGAGGGGGGTAAGGGACTATACTTCCTTAAATAAGCCTCATTAAGTCGATTATGGGCATTAAGGCCCCGTACCCCCGTCCCCTACCCCCTGAGGGCCTTATGAAGTCAAAGTTCAGGGTTTAGGGCCGAGGCGTTAGGAGCGGAACTTCAGAGGCACCACTTGAGTCGTTCCCTAAGTTGGGGTTCCCTTCTTCGGGTACCCAAACTAAGCTCTGTCAAGGTAGATCTCTAACTTCGGGTCCCTTCTTGGGTCCCCGAAACCCTTATAAAAAGGGCCCGAAGAGAAGGGACCCAGACTTCGAGAACTACCCACTTCGGAAGCCTCGTGAATCGAGGGTTAAGGGTTTAGGGGTTTAGGGTTTATGGGTTTAGGGTTTAGGGTGTATGGGGTTTATGGGTTTAGGGTTTAGGGGTTTAGGGGTTTAGGGTATAGGGGTTTAGGGGTTTAGGGTTTAGGGGTTTAGGGTTTAGGGTTTAGGGGTTTAGGGGTTTAGGGCTTTAGGGGTTTAGGGTTTAGGGTATCTTCATCCGGCTCCAAAACACCCTAAAGCCTACCACAAACCCATAAAGCTGCTATACTTCTTCTGCTCTCTGCAGGGGCTTATGGGCTACAGCCTCGGAAACTTTTGAAGCCTAAACCCTAAACCCTAAACCCTGAACCCTAAACCCTGAACTCGTAAGCAGGCGCTCCTCGCCAAAGCTTGCTTGCTCTTTCATCTCAGACCAAGTCCTGAATCTTTCGGGGCTTAGGGCTTTGCGTTTAGGGTTTAGGGTTCGGGGTTACGGTTCAGGGTTTGGAGTTCAGGGTTGAGGGTTCAGGGTTTAGGGTTCGGGGTTTAGGGTTCAGGGTTTAGGGTTCGGGGTTTAGGGTTCAGGGTTTAGGGTTCAGGGTTCAGCGTTCAGGGTTTAGGGTTGAGGGTTCAGGGTTCAGGGTTTAGGGTTCAGGGTTGAGGGTTCAGGGTTTAGGGCTTATGGTGCATTTGTGGCTGCGTCCTTAGGGCTTTGCGGCTTGGACTTCGGAGGCTTCAGGGTGTAAGCCATGCGCTTCGCATTTTGGCCGGTAAACCCAGGTACCCCAAACTCGAGGGTCCAGCCACCGAAGATGTTGGCTGAAGGCTACGGTCTCCTACGAGTTTGGTGCTTAGTAGTATATAGATGATTTTTGTAGTGCATTTTATTGTACTATACACTGTTACATGGATGCTAGGTCAAGTTGCTCATAGGATTCCGGGCTTCTTCATGGCTTGCGGGATGTGACTTTGGAATTTCGCTGAGCTTGAATACTGCGACATTCCATAGACGATGCCAGAACACGCAGCATCCATAGCAACTCGCAGACCCCTGAACTCAAACCCTGAAGCCTAAACCCCAAACCTTACATACACCCGTAGCCGCGAACCCTACAGCCTATAAGTACTATAAGTAAATCCTGAACCCTAAACCCTGAAAGCCTGAGAAGTCCTCAAAATCCCTGAGCCCCCGGCAGGTGCAGGGGTGCGAATGAAGGTGCCTCAACCGCCAGTTGAACCAAAATACAAATAAGATTCTTATGGATCCCCTTTCAGTTATATTATAGACAGAAAAGTCTTAGCGACCCCTTTAAGTTATTATATTGTAAGAAATATATTCCGATGAACCCCCTTAAGTTATACTATAAAAAATAAAACATAATTTCTAGAAACAGTAGTCAAGGAGCCATGCCCACAAGGTTTGCTGTGAGCACCTCCACGTCCTCCGTTGCTGGGCCTCTGACGCTTCGAGGGCTTGCTTTAGGGCTGTGGGTTTCGGGTTTTGGGGATTGGGGTTCAGGGATTCCCTAAACCCTAAACCCTAAACCCTGAACCCTAAACCCTAAACCCTGAACCCTGAACCCTAAACCCTAAACCCTGAACCCTAAACCCTAAACCCTAAACCCTGAACCCTGAACCCTGAACCCTAAACCCTGAACCCTAAACCCTAAACCCTGAACCCTAAACCCTAAACCCTGAACCCTGAACCCTGAACCCTGAACCCTAAACCCTGAACCCTAAACCCTAAACCCTGAACCCTAAACCCTAAACCCTGAACCCTAATTGCAATCCTTGGTGGGACATAAGAGTTGGATGTTATGCTCCAAGAGGCCCTCGCCTCGCCAGAATCGCATGCAAATGGAGCAAGTCGAACTACGCGTGCGTCTGCTACCGCTCGTGCTACCTATACCCTAAACCCTAAACCCTAAACCCTAAACCCTAGACCGTTATACTGTTCTTCTCATTTTTGATGCTCAAACATTCTACCGCTGCGACCAAAGACGACGATGCCCACGACGGGCACCAATAGGAGTCCAGTTAGCAGCTGCTGCTGTCAACTGCTGACAGCGACTGCTGCAATTGCCAGCTACGCCCAGCTATACACTGCCACACCGACTCCCGTCTTGAGTCCTTGAAGCCTACGTAAACCCAAACCAAACCCTAAACCCTAAACCCCAAACCTTAAAGCCTAAACCCTAAAGCCCAAAACCCACCTTCCTCCCCGAGTCTTGAAGAAAAGCCGAGAGCGAGACAGGACTGGCGGCGCAACAGTGGGGGCGTTCCTGCGAAGCCTGGGGTTTGGGGGTTTAGGGTTTAGGATTTAGGGTTTGGGGTTTAGGCTTTAGGGTTTAGGCTTTCGGATTTAGGGTTTTGGGTTTAGGGTTCGGCGTTCCTGGTTGGGGGTTTGGAAGATGTATCTTGGTGCTTTAAGGTGGCTTTAAGGGTGTTTTAAGGGTTTATGGGTTAGGGGTTTAGGCTTTGGTGCGAAATGCATCTGGGGCTTCAAGGGGCTCAAGGGGGCTTCAACACTGATGCATCTTGCAACAAAGCTTGAAATTCTTAGGGTTTGGAGTTTGGGATTTAGTAATTTAGTGTTTTGGGTTAGGGTTCGGGGTTTAGGGTTTGGGAGTTAGGAGTTTAAGGCAAGAGTGAAAACGCGTAGGGTCATGTCGCAAGTCGAGAGTGTTTCCTGGCTTCCGAGCACGCCAATACAATCACAACCCTCCCTGTGAAAGTGTTTGTTTTTGATGTCGTCTACTAGTAGTAGTAGTAGCAGTGGTGGTGGTGGTGGTGGTGGTGGTGGTGGTGGTGGTGGTGGTGGTGGTGGTGGTGGTGGTGGTGGTGGTGGTGGTGGTGGTGGTGGTGGTGGTTGTGGTGGTGGTGGTGGTGGTGGTGGTGGTGGTGGTGGTGGCGGCGGTGGCGGCGGTGGTGGTGGTGGTGATGGTGGTGGTGGTGGTGGTAGTAGTAGCAAGCGGCGAGGTTGTGACCAACTCCTCGTCCCACACCCAACAGGACTGTCACTTCACGAGGCTCGCCGTCATGCTTGACCCTACCTCGTGGTGGGCTGAGAGCTCCAGATTCAAGGCTACCCAAACCCTCAACTCTCACTGCACAGTTTGCCGTGGAACCCACAGACAGGCTGTAGGGCTGGATCACCACAGGACCACCTTCACAGAAATCCAAGGGGCGAGAATGACAACTCATGCAGCGGGCAAAGGTATCGAGGTCCAGAACCCAACATGAATTCTCCAAACGTCACGTACTCACTAGTGTCCCTCTCTTGCCCTACGTGTACATTCGAGGTGGGCAAATGCATATAGACGTACACACAGATAGAAATAGCGACAGCTTCCTGTGCACTACGGCAGAACTTAATAATAACAATGACAGTCCTAGTAAAACGGAACTGCTTTCACCCTAGACCTAGACCCTACTACTACAAGAGCCCGTTGCTCTGGATGCTAATGGTCAGAACCACGGAAGCTCTGAAACGAGCCAAAACAACTCCAGGCCTGGATAACGGTATCGGCCGTATACCCCACACACAGGGTTTAGGGTTGGGGGTTTAGGGGTCCTAAACGGTAGCCCTAAACCCCACGCTGGGTTTAGGGTTTAGGGGAACAGACGCAAAAAGCGGGAAGACTATATGAGACACATACCAGAAGGAATTCTGGAGATAGCGGCGACTCCCTACTTGCTGGGAATATGGAATCAGTCTACCCGTGGGCCTTACGCCCCAAACGCCAGGCCCTACTTAAATCCTTCAACCGAAGGCTGAACCCCTCAACCCTTAGACCCCGAACCCCCGGTTTAGGGTTTCGGGTTTAGAGTTTAGGGTTTAGGGTTTAGGGTTTAGGGTGGACCCCTCAGACGCCCTGAAACCCTCAACCCTTAGATCCTGAACCCCTAAACTATGGACCCCTCAGAACTTAAAACTACTCTTGCTCCCTGAAGCCCCTTAACTATGAAAACCTACTATTGACCCTTGGACCCTAAACCATAAACCCTAAACCCTAAACCCTAAACCCTAAAAAACCCTAAAACACCCTCAAAAAACCTAAAAAAAACCCTAAAAAACCCTTTCAGAACTTGAAGCCACTCATGCTCTGGCCGAGCCACCCTTTCGGACCTGCGCCGCTGTGGAGCAAACCTGAAAGACTTTCATTTCAAAGGGGAAAGGGAGGGACCCTTAGGTATATACCCATAATGTAGCTATTATATACCCATTATATAGCCCATTCTAGGGTAGGGGTCCCCATTAAGGATCCCTCCTTATCGCACTCGGAAGGTGTCATAGAGGGTTTACGGCTTAAAGTTTAGGGTGGGGCTTAGGGCTTAGGGTTTAGAGTTTAGGGTGTGAGGGTCTAGGGTTTGGGCTTGAATGGTTCGGGATTAGCCAGAGACTCCAATATCCCTTAATTGAGGAATATACCTTGAATCATATTAAGGATCCTACTATAATTTAAGGTATATTCCTTAATTAAGGGATATTGGAGTCTCTGATTATGCAGGCCCCGGGCCCTCACTTCTGCCTTCGGCTTCGGCCCCCCCCCTGAGGGCTTCCGACTCATGCCCTAGTTGCCGAATTCAGTTGCCTTGGGCCAAAAAGGTTTGGTAGGCGTTTAGGTTCTATAAGGGTGTCTTTAAGGGTCATTAGAAGGATTAGATACTCCTAGCACACACAAGCCTACGTATCAGCTACAAAATGGCTTTCATCCGTGAACTCAAAACTGAAAAAGCTACCCTAAACTCTGAACTCTACACTGTAAACCCTGCACCAACACCAAAGGCCGTAGCAGCCATAAGAGGGGCGGAGGCACTGCACGGACAAAGCCTGCTGAATCGGGCTTGTGTAAGTGATCTAGGTTTGGAGTTTAGTCAAGGGCCCGCAAGTCTTGGGGTTAGTAACTGTTTAGGGGCTTGGGGTTGACGGTTGAAGCAATCCTTACACTGTGGCCCTGAACCGCCCCATGAGCCAAGCCGCACTGTGCTGAATAAAGCCCGTGAAGGGATTACGTGCCATCCTCCTTGGAGCGCATCGTGGTCACTGGCTCACTCATGTCTGTTGCCCCGTGTCAACACGACCATTGTCACCGAAATTAGTGAATCGTGCTGTGAAGGAAGCAGAAGACGACGGCACCAGTCATGATGCTGATGATGATATGAAGAAATGATGAAGGTGGTGGAAAATGATGATGATAATGATGATGATGCTGATGATGATGACTATGACCACCACTCAGACTATTGAATATGAACATGATGTTGATGAGGATGCGGATGACGATGCTTAGGCTGATGAGACGGAGGATGAGGATGAAAATGAGGATGTGGACGAGGATGAGGAATGAGGGTGAGGATGAGGGTGAGGGTGAGGGATGAGGATCACTCTCCAAGCCCCTAGGGTCCACATCATACGACTGTTGAATAACAAACATGTTCACAAAACACCCTGGCAAACGAGCAACCGCTTGGTCACTGAATCAAGAGCACTCAAGGGGCAATACCAAAATGTTGATAGTGATACTACGAAGCCACAAGGCCCCAACCCTTGCAGCCCCAGGGCGAACCCGAAAATCGAAGTACGACATGCCATGCTATCAAGGTCTATCAGTATTAGCATTAGTATTCCTGTTATTGTTGAGTTACTATTCTTATCTTTTTTAATTTATTGTTGAGATACTATTCTTATCATATTATTTATTGTTGAGCTACTATTGTGATCATGATCATTATTACTACAAAAGCAAAGACCGTCTGGGCCAAAGTACCGATGAAGCGGCTCCCCCTTTGCCTCCCGCGGTGAAGGCGGGACCGGGCAGGAAAACCTGGGCCCGTTCGGAGCCTAGGGCCTATTATATGATCCTTGAAGGAGGGTGGTTCAAGGGGGGAGGGTATAAGGAATCCTTAGGGGACTGTAAGGGAACACTTGGGAGAATTAGGGATCACCAGGCTATATACCCCCCTTGGACCCCCCTCCCTTAAGGATACTACAAGGCCTAGGGTCTTCCGGGGTTCGGTTTATGGTTTAGGGCTAAGGGTTCGCAAGCGCGGGTGTTGGGGTCATTGTAACAAGGATCCTACACTAAGTTTGAAACATGTCGGATTTCCGGCGGAAAAAAACAAACGTGATCACTATGGCCTCGCGCTACTTCTACGGCTAAGTTACGGCTGCTGCCGCTGCTACCGCTGCTGTTGCCATTCCAAAAAAAGAAAACAAAGCATGACCAACATGACAAACCGCTTCCAGCCGAGTCTCGAATCTATGAAGGGATTGTGGGCCACGGACTCAGGTGCGATCTCATCATACAGATCGAAGGATGGAATTCGCGCCGCCATGGCACCACGTAGGGATTCTTCACCTCGGTATAAAGGCAAGTGCGTGAAATGACTTGTCATGAGGACGGTTCAGGTCTTCTACCTGGGCTGTGGATTTAGCTGTGGGAGCTTCGAGAACATACTAAGACAACACAGGAACGATATACAGTGACTGTTGCCCAAGGAAGGCCAGGCGCCGAATGAAGGCCTACACGTCAAGCCTCTAGTCGAACACACAGAGCATGATTCTATCCAAACAAGCACACAGCACTGCAGCAGGAGCAATGCAGACTTCTTTGAGTTGGAGAGTGAGCACCTCAAGGTGGCTGCAGTTACGCTCTTTTTGTTTCTTTATTTACACTCAACATACGCAAAAACCACACTGCTTTGGGAAGACAAGCGACACGCCTGAACCCTAAATACCCCTGAAGCCTGAAAACAAACCTACGTCCTGAACTCGAAAACCAGAAACATAAATCAGAGAAATAAACAGTAGTAGTCGTCATCGTTCTAGTAGTCGTAGCAGGCGTAGTAGTCGTAGTCGAAGCCGAAGTCGTAGTCGTAGTAGTGGTAGTAGCAGTAGTAATAGTAGCAGTAGCAGTGGCAGTAGTAGTAGTAGTCGTAGTAGTAGTAGTAGTAGTAGTAGCAGCAGTAGTCATCGTAGTCGTAGTAGTTGTAGTGTTCGTAGGTCGTAGTCGTAGTCCGAGTCCTCGTTGTAGTCCCAGTCCTAGCCGTAGTCGCAGTCGTCGCCGTCGTCGCGGTAGCGGTAGTAGTAGTAGTAGTAGTAGTAGTAGTAGTAGTAGTAGTAGTAGTAGTAGTTAGTAGTAGTAGTTAGTAGTAGTAGTAGTAGTAGTAGTAGTAGTAGTAGTAGTAGTAGTAGTAGTAGTAGTAGTAGTAGTAGTAGTAGTAGTAGTAGTGGTAGTGGTAGTGGTAGTGGTAGTGGTAGTGGTAGTGGTAGTGGTAGTGGTAGTGGTAGTGGTAGTGGTAGTGGAAGTGGTAGTGGTAGTGGAAGCGGAAGTGGTAGTGGTAGTGGTAGTGGTAGTGGTAGTGGTAGTGGAAGCAGTGGAAGCAGTGGAAGCAGTGGAAGCAGTGGAAGCAGTGGAAGCAGTGGAAGCAGTGGAAGCAGTGGAAGCAGTGGAAGCAGTGAAGCAGTGGTAGCAGTGGTAGTACTGGTAGTAGTGGTAGTAGTGGTAGTAGTGGTAGTAGTGGCAGTAGTGGTAGTAGTGGTAGTAGTGGTAGTAGTGGTAGTAGTGGTAGTAGTGGTAGTAGTGGTAGTAGTGGTAGTAGTATGTAGTAGTGGTAGTAGTGATAGTAGTGATAGTGGTGGTAGTAGCAGCCGCCATGACAATAGTTCTTGCATGCCTACGATGGGTTTCAGAGCCTGGGGTATACGACTATCACGAATTCACTGGTTTAGTGCCCATGAAGCCGATGCCATGCAAAAATTGATTACAGTATTAACCTGATCAGTTCCTGTCGGCGTCTGCGACTTCGGTTCCGAGGTATCGGCTTTCACTGCAATAAAGACCTTGAATTGATGCAAGGGTGCAACGCTTAGAGTCTAGAGCATATGGCAATCAGATGTAGAGCGTTGACGACGACCATACTGCAGAACAACCAGCTACAGGCTGTTTGGTCCGAGCCACACGCACATGCAAGCTTTGTGTCAGTTTCGGTCTTGGACCCCTACACATACCATCGAGCCAAATGCCAAACGCATCAGCAGCACGAAGAACATGTTAATTCAAGGTCTAGTCTGCAAGCCATGACGCACTTGAAGGTTGAACACTTTCCACTCCTAAGGCAGAGGTGGAGTAATAGGTTTCTACAGCTTTTAGCCGGTTATGACGACAAGAGAAGAAATTGAAAGCTTGAAACTACCCAACAAATCACGACAACTGCACTCGTTTTAGCGAAATTGCCAGATTTTTCCATGTGGATGACAACGGGATACTGACACCATTCAGACCCATGCGGCTCACCCAAGCTCCGAATCCTAAAATTCTCCTTCAAGAAGCCCATTTGCTTTAGAATTGAAGCCTTGGGGTCTTTGAAGACCCGCTACTTGGAGGTTCATGGGTAGTTGGGGTTTAGGGTTTAGGGTTTAGGGTTTAGGGTTTAGGGTTATAAATGGGCTTATAGGTCCCCTAATCTGGGTTATAAGCAAAGTTACCCTACTTTTAACCCCACTTATAACTACCCCATGAACCTCCAATTACCCTAAAGATACTCAATTCTGTGCTGCTGTGGTCCCCCCCAAAAAAGTCTCCGCCTGATAGAGACTCCGGAGGCCCTCCTGAACCACCACTTGCCGTAGCACCTCAAAGAGGTTGTAGGCTTTGGGGGCCTCAATATTAGAATAGGGTTCCTTTAAAGGGATCCTTTGAGGGCTCCTTAAAGGGATCTATAAGGGTTCTATAAAGGGTTTGGGCTTTAGGGTTGGGTTTGGGGCCTATTATGCTATACATATAATCAGGGACGCCTATATGAGGCTTTAGGCTTGCATTTTGTGGGCTTAGGTTTAAGCTTTGGAATTTGCTTTCCACTGGGCCATGCATTGAACCCTAAACCCTGAATGGATTTTTGGAGTTTAGGGGTTTGAGGGACAGAGGTTGAGGCTTTCGGGCTTTAGGTGCTCCTCTTGATTCTGAAGATCATCTGCAAGGATCTCCGGCTTTGGATTTGAGGTTGGGGGGCCTGGTAGTGTAAAATGCAATTTAGGATTGCCGTTTTTGGTGGTACGGACGCATCGTCTTCGCTGCGATGAAACATCTCGGGTTTCGGGTTTCTCGTCCACGGTGCTGGAAACGTCGGGCGGCTTGAACACAGCTCGGTTCTTGTCCAAGCCGCAAATCCTCAGCCAGACTGCCTAATGTAGAGGCATTAATGATTAGAATAGGGTCTTGGGGCCATTATACTATGAATATATTAAGGAAGCAGCCCCTACATTGCCTCTGTCTCGCCTCTCGCCTCTGGGTCGAGGCACTGCCGGCACTCCGATGGAGTATCGGGTGCCGTGCGGCGCGAAGCGTCTGGAGCTATTCCAGCCACCCAGAGACTCCAATATCCCTTAATTAAGGAATATCCCTTAAATTATAGTAGGATCCCTAATATGATTTAAGGTATATTCCTTAATTAAGGGATATTGGAGTCTCTGGGCAGTCATCATCCAAGGATCAGAATAAGGGCTGAATGCCCGAGTTTCAAAATTCCTGAGCCCGAAGCGTAGAAGAAGAGGGCCAGAAGCAAAAGCAGCAACTCTGCAGCCGGAACAACCGACACTCCAAACTCTGAATCAAAACATCCTCAAATCTCAAACCCTAGAAACAAGGCCCGAGACCCCAATACAGGGCCTTACTGGTTTGGGGGGAGATTATACTAGAATCTGGAACTGTTGGAATTGCAGAGGGCTTGAGGGAAACTGCTTCAGAATACTCAAACCCCCTTCATAAAACCCTACACCACGAACTCCAACTCTTACAGGAGAACCCTTCAGGGTAGCCCCAAAGAAGCCCTGAACCGTGAACCCTTGCCCCGACCAGAACAGAACAAAGGGGCCATGAGCACACCAAGGCCGGTGTCGCGTGCCTGGCACACAGGCTTCCCGGTGCTTTTCGCTCAGGGTTTTGTTTGTTTCGGTTTAGCGTTTAGGGCTTGGGTTTAGGGTTTAGGGCCTCTGGTTGGGGGGACAGGGTTTAGGGTTCCCCGTGACTCCCTAGTAACTCCTAGTAACAAGGGTGCCCATGTCCCTAAAGATGAAAAGAGCGCAAGGGCAACACCGGGGACCCAGATAGTGACTGAGAGTCGAGACCAAGTCTGGCAGAGTAGACCCTCAAGCAACAAGAAGCCCTCTAGCCCTCTCTGGTTTTTACGGTTGGGTCCATGAAAGGGCACTGGGCACTCTTGGCCAGGTCGGGGTTTGGATTTACGGGTATGGGGCCCGTTATAGCCCATAAATAACGATACCATGCTATGCCTCTACACCTCCAAACCCTATCGGAGCTATTTCGGCATACTTCGGTGTCCCTATAGTAAGAGCCCTAAATCCTAAACCCTAACCCATCCCAAAAGTTGAAAGTCTCGGACTGGTCCCCTGGCCCTGCGCTTACCCTCAGCACTAGCAGCCCTGGCCAGAAACAGACCTAGGATACCCAGTAACCTAAGAGGGACCCTAGGCCCTTTACTAGGGTTCCTTTAAAGGGATCTTTATGGGGTTACTATAAGGGGGTCTATAAGGGTACTATAATACTAGGATACCCAGTAACCTAAGAATAAAAAGGCCTCTCTTTTTGGTATATTGGGTAACTTTATAAGGAACCTAGGACTACAAAAAGGGAATTAAGGGTACTACTGGGCATCCTAGAACACTGAGATTCCAAAACACTGCAACCCTGAGACTCCCTCCACTCTAAAACGCCTCAACCGTCTCCCTTCTTCAACAACCGGGCCCGAAAAAGTTCAAACTTTTTAAGAAAGAGCTGATATATAATGCCAAAAAGCTTAAAGTTCCCCCGTTCACGATCTAAGCCGTTCGATAAAAAATCACCCTCCGCCTGGACCAGTGACTTGCCACGCATCAGCGGGTAGGAAAGCAGCAGGGCCAAGAATTTCGCGAACACACCCGCCTCTTAGTATAGGCTTTAGGGCTTAGGATTTAGGATTTAGGGTTTAGGGTACAAGCTTCACCGTTAAAGGGGCGTTTGAGGCTAACGGCTTATCTTAGGGTCTCGGAGTTTCCTGATTTATAGAGAGCTTTGGGGGTTAACACTGAAAGGTTGTCAAGGAAGGGCTCTCAAATCCTTTTGTTGCTGGTTTGGCTCTCCATCAACACCAGAACCTCCTTGCCTGCCCTCTGCCGCTTGTAATTGACGTTGTTGCTCGAAACCGCGCGGCGTTTTGGCACTGCTAAGACTACAACCTACCGAGGAACCACCAACTATTTTTGAGGCTGCGAGCTTCGCAAACAAGGCTGCTCCCTACAGAACCTGATGCCCATGCTGTAATCTGTGTCCTCCACCTCT